CCCTTCTGTCCTCCTCCTCCCCCCTTCTTTTTCCCATCCTCCTCTCCCTTCCCCCTCCCTACTTTCCCTCCCCTCCTCCTCTCTTCCTTCTCCCTCTCCCTTCCTTCCATTCTCTTCCTTCTCCCCTTCTTCCTATCCTCTTCCCCCTCTCTCTCCTCCCTCCTCCCTCCCTTCTGTCCTCCTCCTCCTTTCTTCTTCCCATCCTCCTCTCCCTTCTCCCTCCAATTGCCCCTCCCCCTTCCCTTCCCCTCCCTTCCCCTTCTCCTCTTTTCCCCCTGTATCTTCCTCGTCCTTCTCCTCCCCTTCCCCTCTTCTCCTTCTCCTCCTCTTCCTCCCCTGGTCTCTTCCTGCCTGAACTGTGGACCCACGCCACCAAGGATGCTGGGAGGTGTCATATCCCATCATAGTTTGGGAGCCGACCACGTTGCATAGATTGGGGCTCCAAGCTGAGTGGGGCCGGCCAGGGTGGGCGGGAAGGGGGCCAGGTTAGGCAGGCATGTACAGAGCGCCCCGAATCTGTAGGGGGAAGGGCTCCTGCTGGGGAGAGGAGCCCCCCCACCACCACGTAGGGCTTCAGCTAATCCTACTCCCCCCCCGTTTCTCCTTCTCCCCCCAACTAGGTCAGCATTTACCAGGTGCTGGACAAGGACCACCCAGAAGACCCCGAGGGGAAGAGGCTGCTCTCCACCCGGCTGATGGCCCTGCAGGGCTTCGGCTGGGAGATTTTTCCCATCACCCACGCGGTGAGTGCCACCCTCCGGGGGGGACGACAAGAGGGGGCTGGGGTGCCCCAGAGTTTGACCTGCATGTGTGCATGGGGTGTGTGTCTGCTGAGAACAAGGGGGGGGGTGTCCCTTTTGCCTGGGGCTTGGCTCGCTTACTCGAGCCCAGCGGGGGGGAGGGGCTTGGGTGCCCCAGAGTTTGACCTGCATGTGTGCATGGGGTGTGTGTGTGCTGAGAACAAGGGGGGGGGAGAGGTGTCCCTTTTGCCTGGGGCTTGGCTCGCTGACTCGAGCCCAGTAGGATGCCAACCGATGGCCGTCTCCCCCACTCCCAGGTCCATGAATGGGTGGCCGAAGAGAGCCGCAACCAGGGCCTGCTGGTGACGGTGCAGGGCCTCGGAGGGGCCCCCCTGGACCCCGACACCGTGCAGTTCGCCTCGGGCAGGGACCACCACCCCAGCAAGAAGCCCATGCTGGTCTTGTTTACGGATGACAGGCAGCGGGAGGCGGCCTTGCCCAGCGCCTTCCCCGGTGAGTCACACCCTTGCCAGGCATTTTGGGGGGACGGGGGGGTCACACGTCGCCTCTCTTGGGACAACTCAGAGGAGGGGATAGAAGGGGAAGTTACCAAATCTGCAGATGATACTAAGATGGCAGGAATAGCCAACACCCAAGAAGGTAGGCTCAAGGTCCAGAGGGATCTTGACAGACTAGAACACTGGACCTTGCCTAACAAAATGAAATTCAATATAGAGAAAAGGAAAGTCCTCACTTAGGCAAGAAAAACCCAAAGGACCCATCTAGACTGGGTGAAACCAGGCTCAATAGCAGGAACTGGGAGGGGGATCTTGGAGTCTTAGTGGACAACCAGCTCAATAGGAGCCAGCCGTGTGCAGCAGCAGCCAAAAAAGCTAATGCAGCCCTAAGTTGCGTTAATAGTGGGATACAATCAAGATCAAGTGAGGTACTAATACCACCCTATAAAGCCTTAGTAAGGCCACACCTAGAGACCTGCATCCAGTTTTGGTCACCACACTATAAAAAAGAGGTTGAGACTCTAGAAAAAGTGCAGAGAAGAGCAATCAGGATGATTAGGGGACTGGGGGCTAAAACATACAATGAACCGTTGCAGGAACTGGGCCTGGCTGGTCTAGGGAAGAGAAGGACCAGGGGAGACAGGAGAGCATCTTCCAATATTTGAAGGGAAAGGGGGAGAAAGGAAAAAGAAAGAGAAAGGAAGGAAGGAAGGAAGGAAGGAGAGAAAGAAAAAAGAGGGAGAGAAAGAATGAGAGAAAGAGAAAAACAGAGAAAGAAAACAAAAGGGAGAGAAAGAGGGAGAAGGGAAAGGAAAGAAAGGAAAGAGAGAGGAAGAGAGGAAGGGAGCGTAAGAGGGAGTAACCGGAGGCTAAAACATGCAATGAACGGTTGCAGGAACTGGGCCTGGCTAGTCTAAGGAAGAGAAGGACCAGGGGAGACAGGAGAGCCATTTCCAATATATGAGGGCAGGGGGTTGGACTAGATGACCTACAAGGTCCCTTCCAACTCTGTTAATCTGACTTTAATCTGATTTTAATGAACAAAAGGACCAGGGGAGACAGGAGAGCAGCCTTCCAATATTTGAGGAGGGGCTGCCCCAGAGAGGAGGAAGGGGTGTCAAGCTATTTTCCAAGGCATCTGAAGGCCAGACAAGGAACAATGGATGGAAACTGAACAAGGAGAGATTTTTTCAACCTGGAAATAAGGAGAAATTTTCTGACAGTGAGAACAAATCCACCCATAGAAGAGAAGTTGCCCTTGGAAGTTGTGGGAGCTTCATCACTTGAGACTTTCAAGAAGAGATTGGACTGCCCTCTGTCAGAAATGGTGTAGGGTCTCCTGCTTGGGCAGAGGGGGGTTGGACTAGATGACCTACAAGGTCCCTTCCAACTCTTGTTAATCTCTCACTCTTGCTCCTGAAGCTGAGAGTGCCAAGCGGGAGGAGGGGGGGAACGTGAACCAACTCTCTAGACTCTTTGCCCTCCCCCCTTTCCGCAGGTCTGACTTCTCTCCCGGAGCCCCCCTCCAACCACAGCCGCGGCCCCCGCTCGGCCGAGATCTCCCTGCCCTGCCAGCGCTACCCGCTCCCGGTGGACTTCGACGAGATCGGCTGGACGGGCTGGGTCATCTCGCCGCACGGCTACAACGCCTACCACTGCAAGGGCGCCTGCCACTTCCCGCTGGGCCAGTCCATGCGGCCCACCAACCACGCCACCGTCCAGTCCATCATCCACGCCCTGAAGATCAGCCCGGAGGTCCACGTCCCCTGCTGCGTCCCGGACAAGCTCTTCTCCATCAACCTGCTCTACTTCGACGACACTGAGACGGTGGTCTTGAAACAGTACAACGGCATGGTGGCCGGCAGCTGCGGGTGCCACTGAAGGCGCCCAACTCCCCCCCCCCGGGCACGGGGTGGGGGGGGAAAGGGGGGGAGGCTGGCACAGGGGTGGCCCCTCCCACCTCCAAACCTGGGGGCTTTTTAAGGGGAGGGGACAACAGTCAGGAATTTCGCTCCGTAAACCAAGTGTCCAACTTTGCAACTTTAAGACCGGCGGACTTCAACTCCCAGAATTCCCCAGCCAGCTCTGCTGGCTGGGGAATTCTGGGAGTTGAAGTCCTCCGGTCTTAAAGTTGCAAAGTTGCACTCCCCGTCCTGTATTATAGTTTTATCTGCAGTGTGGAGGGCACAAATGATGCTCGTTGGAAGCGTTGCAGCCCCTCTGGCGCGAGTTCAATTCCTTCCCCATAATTTGTAGAAACTTGGCTTGAGGACGGCGGGGTGGGGGGGGAGTTTTTGCTTTGATCAGGCCCCCTCACCTGATGGAGGCAGCCCGGACCCTCCTTGCCTACCCGCTGTTGGAAGAAGGAAAAAAAAAAAAACGGACCCCGAGGAGAGCAAGACAAAGCTTACCGAACCTGCGGAACTGCCTGCCACAAGAAAAGCGTCTTGCTGGCATTAATGGTGATTTAAAGTGGAGGGCTTTTTGGGGGACACCATCATTAGGTTAACTGGCCCCCGAGCCGATTTTTTTAAAAAAAAAGAAAGGAGAAATTATATTTAGGGTTTGCAAGTGGCGGGCTTTTTGGGGGACACCATCATTAGGTTAACTGTCCCCCGAGCCGATTTAAAATAAAAAAAAAAGGAGAAATTATATTTAGGGTTTGCAGAAGTGTCCCGGGAAAATGGGGTCGAGCCTCCTTCTCCCGCAGCAGTCTACCTCCGAAGAGCAAAGGGCTGAGGTCAGAGAGAGACACCTTCCACATGGGCTCCTCAAAGGCCATCAAGCCCTCCACTTTTGGGGATGCCGCCTGTGTTCCTGGGAAGGAAAGTGGCGTGTTTGAATGGAGCTCCACCTGAACTGCGCCCCGTGGAATGTATCATACTGTAAATAGCCAAACTCTTTTAATTTATATAAATAATCTATAAATTGTGTGTTTGTATGTATGTGTATATATATATATATATATGGTATTCAGCTTTGTTCGGGTATTTTCCTACGTCATTATACTTGTGCTTTTAAAGTGGTAGCAATCTCACCTGCCATCATCAGGCTTCTGTCTTGTGTTCATCTGTGAGTCAGACTTTTACAGTTGTTTCAGTTTTAAATTTGGGGCTCGCCTACTGCTGTGCCAGAATGGTCTGTTCGGGTGTGTGTGTGTGTCTATTTGTGCCCAGGTGTTTGCCTGGCTTGTGGTGTGGAGATTTTTTTGTTTGCAAACCCCTGGGCACAAACAGACCCCCCCCCCATACCTCCAGCTCAAACACACCCCAACCAGGCACCCAGATGAAACCTAGTTTCCTAATAAAGGATAGCCGTCCATTTACTTGGAGCCAAGCTGCACTAAAAGCCTCCAATACAGGAACACAATATTGCCAGCCAATCAAGACCAAAAAAAAAGCCACAAAACAGACAGAAGATATTAGAAACACCAATCAAGCAGAACACAGCAAACTCCAATAAACACAGTCCAAGACTCCCAACCAATCAGGATGAAGAAAAAACCATTCTGGCACAGCAGTAGGCGAGCACCAAATTTAAAACAGAAACGGCTGTGAAAGTCTGACTCACAGACGAACACAGTACAGAAGCCTGATGATGGCAGATGAGATTCTGCCGAAACGTTGCTACAACTTTAAAAGCACAACTATACTGACCGTGGGAAAATACCCAAACAGCGCTGAATATCATACATATAAATACCTGTGAAAACTTAACACACACACACACACACACATATATATATATTTCACAAATGTCCAGGGCACCGAGACTTGTAAATATTTTGCTTTTTATTATGATGATGATTTTGCCACGGGCCTCCTTGCCGTCTCCACATTAAACGCAAACCACTTCCAAGCTTTCGGTTGTTGCTTTTTTGATTGCCAAGTGGGGTGTCAGTTTGGAGAGAGGGGGGTGGGTGGGCTGAGGAGGGGCAGGTCCATCTGCCGAAGGGCCAGGTAAGGCTTGCAAAATTTCTTTCTCGTGTGTTTTGTGGCTGCATTTTGTCTGTATTCCGGTCTACGTTACTCCCACTGGCCCTGAAATTGGCAAGGAAACCGGTAATACTGCGGAAAAAGCCAGTGTTGTTTGCATGTGTGTGTGTGTGTTTCGTGTCTGCGTCCTTTCCTGGTCTGGCAGCCTTGCGCTGAAGGTGGCATCTGGGCGCGGAAAGGAGTATTGCTGGGCAGGGAGAGCTCACCTGTGACTCACCTGGCACCAGCAAATGGCGTTTTTCCCTGTAAACTCAAAGGTGCGATAGAGAGTGGAGGGACAGAGAATGTGGGGGCGACCCTGGAAGAAATGGGGAATTCAACAAATAGGTTTCCCCCACTCCCCAATTTCAACCTGTGCTCCGCTGCTGCCAACATCTGGAGGAGGAGGAGGTGATCCTTGGGGGGGAGGGGCTGTGGGGAGGGGGGGCTTTGCTCCCAGGATCAGCTCATTCGGCTGGGAAAGGTGGATTTTGAGGGTGGAGGGAGGGAAGGGCGGAGGGGAGGACTGCACCCCCAACCCCAATGCCCACCTCCTTCCTGGGCCAGGGGAGTCGGCGGGACAAGAGGCAACGGATGGAAACTCATTCCAACATGGGAGGTTTTTAAGGTGATGTTGGGCAGCCATTTTGTCTGAAGGGGTGTAGGGTTTCCTGCCTAGGCAGCGGGTTGGACTAGAAGGCCTCCCGGGTTCCCTTCCAACTCTCTTATTCTGCCTCTCCTCAGTTTTCTCCTTCAGCTAAAGGCTCCCTGGGACGGTCGCTGTGTCAGGTTTCCAAGTGATGAAATCCATTTAAAAAACCAAAAAGTTCACCTTTCCAAAACCGTTTCTTTGACACAGGAAAGCATCCAACGGGCACGCTGGACAAACGGATTCGGCAAATATTTTAACTGCAAGGCCGGCTGGGGGATTCTGGTGGAGGACGAAGGGTGTAGTAGCAAAGTGTAGTAGAGTAGCATAGAGTTGTAGAGTAGAATACAGTTGTAGAATAGTAAGAGCAGTCAAGTAGGATAGAGTAGCAGAGTAATAGAGTAGAATAACAGAGCGTAGAAGAGTAGAATATAGGAGAGCATAAACAGAGTTGGAAGGGACCTTGCAGGACATCTAGTCCAACCCCCTGCTCCAATTCTTCCACCTCCCCCAGGTTGAAACGTCCCGGTGCAGAGCCAGCCTTCAGGGCCACCTCTCCCCAGTCGCCATCCCCAAGGGCAATTCTTCTGCCGATATCTTCCCGCGGGCCTTAGGGCTCGGACGCTATGGGGGTCCCTGGGCAGGCAGGACCCAGCTCGGGATTATTGGCTCTGCCTGCCACAACGCCCCCCCCACACCCCCCCCAGTGTTTTTCCAGGCCAGAAACCAGGAGACGGGAGTTCTAGTCCCACCTCAGCCGGTGGGAAAACCGGCCGGGAGACTTTGGGCCAACCCTCCTCGCAGGGTTGTTGTGGTGAGGAAAAGAGGAGGCGGGTTAGGTAGGTTCCTTGCCTGGAGTTGCTTATGAAAACAACGAAGGCGGGGTTCAAAAGAACACCTGCAGGTGAAGGCGGGGTCAGGGGAGCCAGGTAAAAGCCCGGACAGGCGCTTTTCAAGCCGCCTTTGGGCCTTGGGGCCTGGCAAGCCAATTCAAATACCTGGCTCCCAGGTGCGCCTCAGGGCAGGAGCCGAACCGCCCTGGGGGACTAAACCGATGTTGGGGTTAGAGGCGCTTGTAGCCCTCCAGTTATGACCACAATCCAGCCCAACAGTTGCTAAGTGGCACAGTTGTTGAATGAGTTTCGCCCGGTTTTGTGACCTTTCCTGCTGCCGTTCTTAAGTGAAGCGCCGTAGCTGTTTAGCGAGCCATCAGGTCCTTAAGTGAATCTGCATTCCCCCCCCCGCCCCCCCGTGGACTTGGCTTGCCAGGTCGCAAATATGTCAGAAATGGTGTAGGGTCTCTGGCTTGGATGGGGGGGTGGGTTGGGCTAGATGACCCCCAGGGTCCCTTCCAACTCTGATTCTCTGTTATCAGTTAAAGGGGATCACATGCCCCCCGCCCTTCCAAGACACAGCAACCGTCATAAGACCCAGTTGCCAAACCTCTGAATTTGGACCACGTGACCGCCGGCATGGTGGAACGGCCACTGACTGTGAAAAAGGGTCACGAGTCACGTTTTTCGGGGCCGCTCGGACCTCGAACGGTCCCTAAGCGAACGATTGTAAGGGAAGGAGGAGGGGGGGAGGGGGATGAGCATCTGGAGGGGCCGAGGATCCCAGCTGCCCCGGGTGCGAGGGAGCAGGCCGGCCTGGCACGGGGGTGTGGGGCTTATCATCGGGGGCTTCCGACGGGGCCGGGGGGTCCGTTGGGCTGAGCTCAGCAGCACCGCTTCACCCTCCTCCAGAGCCTCTCCTGGAGGTTGTACTTCCGGGGCGTCTTCAGGGCCACGCTGGCCTTGTTCTCGTGGGACTTGAGCTTGGCGTAGTAGTCGGAGAACTTGTTGTAGAGGATGGAGATGGGCATCCCGTTGAGGATGATCCCGAAACTGATGCAGCCGAAGGCCACCACCCTGCCCAGGAAGGTGTCCGGCACCGTGTCCCCGTAGCCCACCGTGGAGAGGCTCACCTGCAGCGGGGGGAGGGGGAAGGAGGAGGAGGAGGAGAAGGGGAGAGGCCCTCCTGAGCCGAAGCCAACTCACCTGAGGCTCGGGGCCTCCTCTCCATCCCAAAGGAGACCTCCGCCCCAAAGAGGCCCGGGGCTCCGGGGGCGCCTGGACCACGCGAGGGATGGAGGGAACTGGGGCTGCCCAGCCTAACGAGGAGAACGACTAGGGGAGGGAGGACAATCTTCCGGGGGACTTGAGGGGAGGGGCAGGGCAAGGAACCCCGGGTGGAAAGGCGCCAAAAAGCAGCCTGGG